TCCGAGTGCCAGCCTCACAGCAAAAGCAGGAATCTCCCCAGCAACACCGCTCTCGAAGACTGGACCCAGCTGGAAACCAGGAGCAATCGGCACCACAGCTCAAGAGGGGTCATCCACACTCCCATGCCTCACACCTGCAAAAGTACTTACCTCTAGGGGCACCATGGAGGCCTCAAGACCAGGCACACACGAAGCTCCACACTCAGCCCCAACATCGGGCCAACGACACCCCCGGGCAGGTCACCCCCAAGATGGACAGGTCTGTACACCAGGTGGGCATAGGCTGAGGGGGATGAATTAAACGGCTTACGGTGCTGGGCTCCAGCCTATACGTTAGGCACCCTTAAGGACAACAACCTACAGCCCAGATACCTACCTCGCAACATGTGTCCCTGCTGAACTGTGACCTACATACCATACCTTGCGTTGCGCCAACCTACCTGCTAGTAGATACACTCAGCAAGCTTAATTAGTGACTAGCTGTCTATTGTATCTTTATATTATATATTATTGTATCTTTGCCTTATATATCTTTACACGCCAGAATATGAATAGAGATGAGCATTGTGCAGTCCCAATGGCGTTATTTACCTTAACTTTACACAACATGCAGACACCCACGCCATGGGACAGTCAAGCAGGATACTACATAGCAGCCTGTGTCATACCTGGTCAACACATACCATAGCCCTGAAACACGAAAACATGATTGCACACCATACTGACACTAACGTAGTTAATACAAAATTGTTAAGCATTAATCGTTCTCACTTGTTTTAATTACTTTTACGCTGCAAGTATAATCGTCTACTTAAGCTGGTTAAAACTATAAAAATGTGCAAATTCTCATGCCACTACATAATGTATGTTAACCCTGCAATGTTGTGGCGTCTGTTGATCTTTTGTACCCTCCTGCACAACAAAAATAAAGAATAAAAAAAAAAAAAAAAAAAAGGGACACTGTAAGTATTAAAATGGCTTTAGTCAAGTGTTCACTAATCAATTATCTGCCAGTTAGGAGTTAATTAACAGTTTGTGCAGTCCTAGTCACACCTCCCCGGCTGTGACTCACACAACCTCCATGAAAAAAAAAAGGTTACAATGTGGTAACATCTTACAGTACAGTGTGTTTACTTTAGAGGTTATTATATGCTTATCTGTTAACTAAACTTTAAACACACACAGGGGACTGTTGCATGCTCTAGAAAGCAATTAACAGAGAAGGATATAAGAACTTATATATTAAACACGTGGTGTAATAAAGGAGGCCAGAAAATGTATCTCTTTTTCAGGAACTGTGTAAGAATGCGGTGTGAGTTTTGCCCAGGAGAGGTGAGGCTACAGCTGCATAAACAAAGTGATTTAACAACTAAATGACAGATTCAAGAAGTTCTATTGGAGGGGGATGGTCTATACATCAAAACACTGTTTTGATGCCTTATACTGTCCCTTTGAAAAGGCTCACAGTCGGGTAGGTGACACTAGTCTCAAGAAGGGCCAGAACTCTTAGAAAAAAAATAAAATAAAAAAACACATGAAAACTCTCCCCATTCAGTTTCAAATATTCCATTGAAACATTTAATTTCCAAACCATCTTCATTTAGTGTCACCAACTCTCTTGTGAAGAAAACTACATACTTTGTTTCTTATTCGTTATTTTTTGGTTCGGTAGATAAACCTACCGAACACCAACCACCCCCCTGGCTCATTAAGTTCAAAGAACACCACAGGAATTAGCGCTCTCCCTATATGGCAATTTTGGCCCACGAACAGAGGACACGAACGGACCCACGAACGGACACCTGACTTCCCGAACGCAGGTCAACTTCAAGAAGGCCTGCTTCTTTTCCCCGACCAGCTAGGAGAGCGCCGTTCCATAGGTTTGTTCTCACAAACCCAGGGAACAAACGCTACCTATGAGCCAGGTGCACCGTTCATGGGCTTGTTCGGTTTGGGACTCCCGAAATTGACCGACCACTTGTGTCCAAGTCTTGCAATGCAAAAAAAATACCAACAATAAAAAACTATTTTCTTTCTGTCCTTTCCACCTGCTACGTATCCACACAATATACTTGCTCTGTTAATGTATTTAATGTGTGACTAATAGTTTACATATGTCTCTCTTTCTTACACTTTATCTTCATTGTTAGTGTAATTCAGCAAAGATGTTGTTAAGAGGGGGCTTTGGGGTCCTAAGCTCTGGATCTCTACACTTGAGAAGGTCAGGAGGAGATTAGTGTTTTTTTTTTTTTTTACTTTTACATTAGTCAGCTGCTTCTCAAAGAAAGATAATATGTGTGGTGTTCCAACAGGCCCTTAGGGTAAGAGGGTGGTGCCCCCTAGATGATTGCGGGGAGCTGGGTAACAGAATTTTGTTGCATGCCCTTCTACTAGCTAGGTAGCGCTATGGGATCACATTGAATACCGGGGCTATGCAGTATGTGCTTGTTCCAGGCTATGCTTTCATTGAGATGTGACGAGCATCAGCTGCATGCTGTTCATGAGTAGAGAGGGGACATCAAATAGAAAGCCAGGGGTATAAAATGACATATCCCCATCTCTCAAATTTTACTTTGGGAACAAGCAGCCCCAGGTGTTTCAAGAACCTAGCAATGCTGTGGTCATTCAGGCTATCATACTCTGGTTCCTGTTCCTCATTGTTCACTATACCTTAAAGTCCGGTCTTATGTTTACTGATAGTTTTTGTTTTTTTCCCCTCATTTCTTTATTTTTGGTCAAGAAATAACATAAAGTGATACAGGTTACATGTGTTCACTGTTCAAATGGTACAACAACTAGAAGGTAGTGGTACAAGACATATTGTGCTGCGTTTCAGCCAAATTAAGCAACAGTATGTCTATAATCCATGCCATAAACTTTTTCACTCACTCTGTTAACTGTACTCTTAGTAAATACATTAGGTGTTATTTTTTTTATTTTTTTATTTAAATTTAGTTGAAAATAGAGGAAAGAAAAGATAGGCCTGAAAATTACCTCGGTTCTGGTACAAAAAAAATTCCGTGCTCAGGGGAGATTTCCAAAAATGCTCATATATTATACATATATCCCCTCTTTGAATTTTTTTTTGGAAAACCGATTGATGAGTCCCTAGGTCTAGTCAGGGATGGCAACTCTCAGGAATTGGCTGATAGTGAGCCAGCTCAAGGGATGTGATAAAGAAGAGGATAGCATAGTAAGTAGTGGCTACCTGCTAGGTAGGGGTATGTGGGGTAGGGATGGGGATGGGGGTGCAGAGGCCGCACCAGCCAGCACCTCGGATATGTTCCCCACCACTCTCCACCATCTCTCTACTTTAGTCTATAAAGTCACTTGAGTTCCAGCGTTCCCATATTTTCTCAAACTTGTGTATTGTGTTTATCACCTGCGCTGTCAATTTATCCATCAGGCAATTGTCCTTAACTTTATCAAGGACTTGAGAGATGGAAGGCTGTAGTCATATCTGGGCTATGGCCCGTTTGGCTGCCAACATGACCTTCTGAAGCAAAGTTTGCTCTGCTCGAGTCCACCCATCTAATGGCCTCTAAAGGAGGCACACACACGGGGTTAGGTCCGGCCGTCTATTAAAAGGTTTTTCTAAAACGCTTCCCACTGTGGACCACAATGGTCTTATCTGTGGGCAATCCCACCACCTGTGAGGCCACAACCCCTCCAGCACAAGTCGGGTAGGAGTCTGTTTCATGTGATAAGAGTTTTACCGGGGTAGTATACCATCTAAACATAGTCTTAAAACATTGCGCTAGATATATTCATGTTCGCTTTATAGCCTGAGATGGTACTATACGTCACCAGCAGCCCCTGGAGGGCTGCCATAGACCCCACGTGGTTGGTAAGTGATAACAGGACATCATCTGCATAAGCAGAGACCAAGAACAGTTTGCCACCCCCCGAGACCCCATGAATGTCTGGGTGTTCGCGGATAGCTTGTAGGAGGGGTTCCAGAGATAATACAAATAGCAGAGGGGAGCGCGGACATCCCTGCAGCGTACCATTTCCCAACCTGAAGTGTACTGCCGGGGCTCCTGTGATGTCACATTACTGTACATTGCTCGAATCATGGCAAGATAAGATGGGGGGAAGCCCAGAACAGTAAGGAGGCCGGAGAGACAGGGCCATTTGACCCCATCAATAGCCTTTTTGGCATCAAGGGAGACCAGTAAGGAAGGAGTCTTGACGGTAACTTGTCTCCAAATCTTGTCTAGATTTCTGCGTGTGTTCTCAAATAATTGGCACCCATGTATGAAACCCACTTGGTCAGCATTGATTAATTTGGTTAAGAAGAGGTTCAGCCGGTTTGCTAGAGCCAATATCTTCGAGTCATGATTGATAAGTGGAATGGGGCAGTAGTTCTCCAGCAATATGGGATCTTTGTCTGGCTTTGGTATCAAGACTATCGTAGCCAAGGACATTTCCCTATCGGGGGTCCCGCCCTCCCTAAAATCGTTAAAGAACAGTTCGAGCCTAGGGGTCAGATCTTCACAAAACATTTTATAGTAGCAGCCATCAAATCCGGGGCCTTGTTCCCTTGTAAATTCCAGATCGCAATATCGATCTCCTCACTAGTGGTCCTATTGCTAAGTATCTCTACGGCTTCTGGATGTAGTTTAGGTAATTTTAATTTTGAAAGAAGTGCCGGTCGTCTTCGTGAAGGGGGTTCTGGCCCTTTGGGGTGTGATTGTACAAATTTTTATAGAACTCTGTAAATACTACCGCAATGTCCCTCGGATTGGTTTGTAATGTCCAGTCTCTATGTCTAATACTCGTTATGTGTGCCTGTCTTGGTTTTGACTGCAGAGATCTTGCTAGGATTGTATTAATTTTATTGGACTTTTATTGGCCTTCTTGTAGAAAGTCCTCTTGGACCATAAGATATTCCTGGGTTTATCTTTCACCAGGAGGTCTCTAATAGATAATCGTACCGCTTTCAGTTAAGGTAGGACATCCGTGGTGCGGTCTTTTATGTTGCCGACACGATCGTTGGGTCACGCAGCAAAGATGCGTTCAGCTTCCAGGACCGGTAGGCCTCGGATGTGCATGTTGTAACACCTGGTGCAGTTGCCCATATCCTCCAGCGCCAAGTCAGCAGCATGAACTAGGGCCAACAGATCATTTATCTGGGTAATAGCTGCGTTGTGCATCTCAGTCGTGGCTTCTAGCTGTTTCTCCACTCTAGCCGTCCACATTCCGAGACCGTGGATCTCCCCTCTCAGGACACCGGTGGACCGCTCAATCTCGCCTACCAAGTAAGTTTAGATGTCAGCTAGAGCTCTGTCAGGCTGGGAAGACTCCCCTGCTGCGATGGCTTCAGCCCAAGGCGGTGTGTCTAAGGCTGGTGAGGTCGGACTGCAGCCATCTTGCGAACCAGGCGGCAAGGCTCTCGATGTCGCAAATAGGTCTGCTACCGTTGCCCCCTGGGCTGGGTTTTTCTTATGGTGTTTCTTGGCGGAACGTTTATCCATTCTTGAGGGAGAATGTATATTTAGTTGGTGCAGAAATAGTGCTTTTGTAGCTTATGTCGGTGATATTGGAGCAGAGCCTCAAGCAAGCACGCCCAGCTCGCTCCTCGGTCAGACCATGTCCCCCTCACTGATAGTTCTGATAGCTAAACCATAAAACCTTTTCTCAATTTTATCATCTCTTTGCAAACATTATTTTATTTTAGCAACTTAAGACACAAATATTGTTAATGATATAACAAAATGCAACTTAAACAAGAAGCGCCATATTTACATTTACAACAGTATCTAGAAAATAAATACAGGTTTTCAGCCATTGTAATCACTGAGAGGCGATCTAAAAGCTCAATGGTTAGTTGAGGACCATTCTGGCACCCAAGAAAGTAACATCAGATCTTCCTCATCTTGTTACTTAAAAAAATTTTTAAAACAAAAATCGCTCTATACCAAGTATAAACTATATACCTTAACAGTGGCGTACACACGATCCATGGGACTGTCTCACTGACAGCCGCTAGAGATGCTTCTGCGATTCTCACTGTGAAAATCAAAGTGAGAAGACGCTGGACGACCATAGGAAAGCATTGAGTAATGCTTTCCTATAGGCGGTTTGAATGCGCGCATACGGAGCTGAGGGGCTGAGAGATCCCCAGTGCCAAGGGAACCCGGCGCTGGAGAAAGGTAAGTGCTGAAGGGGTTTTAACCCTTCAGCCCAGCGGGAGGGGGGCCACAAGGGTGGGGGGGACCTAAGGACTATATAGTGCCAGGAAAACAAGTTTGTTTTCCTGGCACTATAGTGCTCTTTTAATGACAAACATTCAGATACACATACAGACAAACAGATACCCATGCAGACCAAGAGATACACATACAGACCCACATACAGACACACAAACACACACATGCAGACACACACACTCATAGTGACAGACCCACATACACACTCACTGAAAAACACATACACTCTCACTAACAGACACACACACACTCTCACGAACAGATGCATACACACTAGCTAACAGACACATTTACTGACAGACACACACGCACTTACACTCACTGACAAACACACCCACACAACTAACTCAGTAACAGACACACACACACACACACACACACAGTAACACATACACACTGACACACAAACTAACACACTCAAGTTTCTCTATGTATTTTTCTGCATGCAAGCAACTTATGGGCAAATGCATTTGCAAAACCCACAGTTGATCTTATCTAGCAGTGCAAACCCTGGGTGTATGTGTAGATAGGATTTCTAAATGTGTTTCTGAAACCAAAACACAAAATTTATTTTCCAAATGTTTCACATTGTCATATTTAACAAGTGAGATTAATTCTTTCCCTACAGATGCCGAATCATGATGATTGTAAAGACATCATCAGCATGATAATATGATGTTCATGGGAAGCTAATGTTTTTGCGTGAAATTTTTAATGATCTGTTTGCAATTCTATATCTTAATAGTCAATTACAAAGGCATGTGTTATTTACTCTGCACTAATCATCTGACTTATGAATGTTTGTGAATCCATGACTTGTTAAATCCATGCATTTGAAATGTGTTTTCTTAGCCATTAGTGGTTTAAATCAGTTATAGGCAATATAAACATCCTCAACGTTAAATCCCTGTAATCGGGAAAAACAATACCTTTTATCTATATCCCATTGCATAGCGAAGGGTAGTAAAGGAAGAAACCTGTAACCAAGCCTGCATACCTGCATACCAAAGCTGTCTGGTAAAATATGGAATATCAAAACTACACTGAAATAGTTTTCATACCAAAACTGTCCGGTAGGACAGGCGGAAATAAACAGCCACAACTATTCTTCTCATTGACTGTGCATGGCAGACATGGGGGCCATGTAGGTTGCTCATTTGAAAAGTTCCATACAAATATTGTTCAGATGTTGACAGCATTTTTTAAGTGCATCTTAACCATTGCCATTCTTGGCTGTTACCTTAAAGGTACACAATAGGGCCAGGAACACAAACATGCATTCCTGACCCTATAGTGTTGAAACCACCATCTGGCACCCCTTGCCTCCCTAAATATTGTAAAATCTTACTTGTATTCAAGTCTACAGCTGCTGTCTCTGCCCCTGTCTGCCACTGACATAGTATTACCTGATGGTGTCCTTTTGTCCTATTTATCTCACTTGTCATGTATAAAGCATATCATAAGTGTGTCTCCTTTTTCTCTTTTTGTTTCTCCTGTAAGTCAGGAGACTGTGCTTGTGTATTATGTTATCTTACTTATGCTAATACTTGGATTTTTGTGTTCTAATCATTTTGTTGCAAGGCTCTCGATGTCGCAAATAGGTCTGCTACCGTTGCCCCCTGGGCTGGGTTTTTCTTATGGTGTTTCTTGGCGGAACGTTTATCCATTCTTGAGGGAGAATGTATATTTAGTTGGTGCAGAAATAGTGCTTTTGTAGCTTATGTCGGTGATATTGGAGCAGAGCCTCAAGCAAGCACGCCCAGCTCGCTCCTCGGTCAGACCATGTCCCCCTCACTGATAGTTCTGATAGCTAAACCATAAAACCTTTTCTCAATTTTATCATCTCTTTGCAAACATTATTTTATTTTAGCAACTTAAGACACAAATATTGTTAATGATATAACAAAATGCAACTTAAACAAGAAGCGCCATATTTACATTTACAACAGTATCTAGAAAATAAATACAGGTTTTCAGCCATTGTAATCACTGAGAGGCGATCTAAAAGCTCAATGGTTAGTTGAGGACCATTCTGGCACCCAAGAAAGTAACATCAGATCTTCCTCATCTTGTTACTTAAAAAAATTTTTAAAACAAAAATCGCTCTATACCAAGTATAAACTATATACCTTAACAGTGGCGTACACACGATCCATGGGACTGTCTCACTGACAGCCGCTAGAGATGCTTCTGCGATTCTCACTGTGAAAATCAAAGTGAGAAGACGCTGGACGTCCATAGGAAAGCATTGAGTAATGCTTTCCTATAGGCGGTTTGAATGCGCGCATACGGAGCTGAGGGGCTGAGAGATCCCCAGTGCCAAGGGAACCCGGCGCTGGAGAAAGGTAAGTGCTGAAGGGGTTTTAACCCTTCAGCCCAGCGGGAGGGGGGCCACAAGGGTGGGGGGGACCTAAGGACTATATAGTGCCAGGAAAACAAGTTTGTTTTCCTGGCACTATAGTGCTCTTTTAATGACAAACATTCAGATACACATACAGACAAACAGATACCCATGCAGACCAAGAGATGCACATACAGACACACAAACACACACATGCAGACACACACACTCATAGTGACAGACCCACATACACACTCACTGACAAACACATACACTCTCACTAACAGACACACACACACTCTCACGAACAGACGCATACACACTAGCTAACAGACACATTTACTGACAGACACACACGCACTTACACTCACTGACAAACACACCCACACAACTAACTCTCAGTAACAGACACACACACACACACACACACACACACACACACAGTAACACATACACACTGACACACAAACTAACACACTCAAGTTTCTCTATGTATTTTTCTGCATGCAAGCAACTTATGGGCAAATGCATTTGCAAAACCCACAGTTGATCTTATCTAGCAGTGCAAACCCTGGGTGTATGTGTAGATAGGATTTCTAAATGTGTTTCTGAAACCAAAACACAAAATTTATTTTCCAAATGTTTCACATTGTCATATTTAACAAGTGAGATTAATTCTTTCCCTACAGATGCCGAATCATGATGATTGTAAAGACATCATCAGCATGATAATATGATGTTCATGGGAAGCTAATGTTTTTGCGTGAAATTTTTAATGATCTGTTTGCAATTCTATATCTTAATAGTCAATTACAAAGGCATGTGTTATTTACTCTGCACTAATCATCTGACTGTTATGAATGTTTGTGAATCCATGACTTGTTAAATCCATGCATTTGAAATGTGTTTTCTTAGCCATTAGTGGTTTAAATCAGTTATAGGCAATATAAACATCCTCAACGTTAAATCCCTGTAATCGGGAAAAACAATACCTTTTATCGATATCCCATTGCATAGCGAAGGGTAGTAAAGGAAGCAACCTGTAACCAAGCCTGCATACCTGCATACCAAAGCTGTCTGGTAAAATATGGAATATCAAAACTACACTGAAATAGTTTTCATACCAAAACTGTCCGGTAGGACAGGCGGAAATAAACAGCCACAACTATTCTTCTCATTGACTGTGCATGGCAGACATGGGGGCCATGTAGGTTGCTCATTTGAAAAGTTCCATACAAATATTGTTCAGATGTTGACAGCATTTTTTAAGTGCATCTTAACCATTGCCATTCTTGGCTGTTACCTTAAAGGTACACAATAGGGCCAGGAACACAAACATGCATTCCTGACCCTATAGTGTTGAAACCACCATCTGGCACCCCTTGCCTCCCTAAATATTGTAAAATCTTACTTGTATTCAAGTCTACAGCTGCTGTCTCTGCCCCTGTCTGCCACTGACATAGTATTACCTGATGGTGTCCTTTTGTCCTATTTATCTCACTTGTCATGTATAAAGCATATCATAAGTGTGTCTCCTTTTTCTCTTTTTGTTTCTCCTGTAAGTCAGGAGACTGTGCTTGTGTCTTATGTTATCTTACTTATGCTAATACTTGGATTTTTGTGTTCTAATCATTTTGTTGTAGTTCTA